TATATATACATCTATATACATACATATATATATATATGTATACATACATGCATATATGTCGATAAATAAACAAACATATATATGTATATATGTATAATATGTATGTATGTATGTATGTATGTATGTATGTATGTATGTATGTATGTATGTATGAAAGGAAGTTTTTTCGTGCCGATAGCGTTCTGGCCAATTTTTCTAGCAAAAAATGCGAAAAAACAAAGGCCAAGGGAGGGCGACGGTATCTGTATGCTGAGCCCTGGGCAAATGAGACGAGCATCCAAAGCTGCAAGCTCTGGGAGCAAAGTGACAAAGCCGGGCTCATGGATCAGTATGACGTCGCTGGTTTCGTCGGCACCGCCTGGGCCGGTGTCCTATGTGGTCTGAAGCCACTTGAAATCCGAGCCCGGCGCCTGCCAAAAGCCGGCGGAGTGCCGGCAGGAGCTGCCGCAGCCGCCGTCCTTCTGGTGAGGGAACCTTCACCCGAGCCTCATCCCAGCTGCCTCGGACATGCCAAGTCGATAGATCGGAAAAAGGACTTGCATGTCGATCCCAAGAGGAGCCAAGGAACTGTAGAATTCCATGGAAGCCCCTGCAGCCTCCTGCCGTCATTTTCTGTGATGGCTACCCCCCGTTTTGCACAGGTTGATAAGTTGTGCAGCGCTGGCATGCCTCGTCATGTCGGACAAGAGAGACAGGAGAGAGAGACAGACGGACAGACGAGACAAAGACGGAGTCAATCTCAACAATGCTCCAGCTGGATTTCTCCCAACCCTGGTCCTCAGAACCAGGTTGGTTCAGCAAAGCTGGTGGCAGCAAACCTGCCTGCGACATCATGTCAGATCGGCCTTGTGTAACTTCCTGCATCAAAGCACCAGTTCTGTGTCCCTCTGATCTCGGCCTCCAACTTCATCGGCCCCGGCCCCAAACGCAGAAAGACAGCCTTGGCTGCAGCACCAGTCTCTCACACAGCTGAAGCTTGCCGGCTGTGCAGACCAGTGCACGAGGCGGGAGTTGTTCGCCGTGAACTTCATGACGGAAGCAGCAGCGATGTGATATCCGTGCCGTGAACAAGCCTTAAAACAAAAGGCTGCTGTACAAGTACCAAGGCTGAACTGGAAGCTCTTCAGGCTTGTCCTGCTTGCTGACAGGCGTCATGTCTCAGACCAGCTAAGGTCCAATCGACAGCACTGCCCAGCCAGACTTCAGCTGTTGAGACATAGGCCACGGTAACCTGAGAAAAGATACATCTCCCACGACAGGATATGCCCAAGCTACTAGAAGTCAACGCTTGGAAGCTGCCAGCAGTGCATCAGGCGAAAGCAGCCGCAGGCCCAGCAGCTCATTGAGATGCGACCAGTCACTGCAGCTGTGAAGCCTTCTGGGCATGAAAGTCTCGAGACAACAGCGGGGTGCAGGAACCACTGCAGTTGCGCGGCTGCGTTGATGTGCAAGCCCTCCCTCCATCGTAGCCTGAAGTCGTTGAGGCGAGGCCTACCGGCTATAGTAGCGGCTAGATGCGGCTAGCTAGAAGCCCAAGCGCATCGGTTCGACGAGGCTCCAAGCCAGGCAGCCGCAAAGACCTCCCGCGGCGTGCGGCCGGCCAGTTGCTGCAGGTAGTCCTGCACGTGCAAGTCACGAAGGAAAAGATCATGTTCTGAGCACGGCGCCACGGCGCCACGGTCCAGCAGAGCAGCTCCCGAGAGAACGCCAACCGCTCGTCCGTGGATAGCAGCTGCGACCTCGGCCTCGGGGACGGCCACCCGGATCACCCGGACCCCATGCCATGGCGCACAGACGGTGCACACATGGGCAGTGCCAAGCAGGCCTCCAGCTGGTCCGGCAGTGACGACAGCACAGTGCATCCGCAGGCTTCCAGGGCTTGTGTGACTGGCAAGAGCTTCACCTTTGATGCGACAGGGCTGGCATGGATCCATTCCGGGCAGGGAGGGCGGTGCCCATTGAGAGCCAGACGGACTCGAGGGCAAGGGCGCTTGCACTCCCGGCTGCAGTGGCAAAAATCCCAGCGGCAAACCTGCACGACTTTGATAAGCTTGAGCCATGCCTGCAGACACTGCCTGCGCCTCAGAGCCCTTGCCAGTGGCAGCTCGAGGCCAGCTGCCAAACCACGGCCCGCGCACCAGTGATCGCCGGGCACGAAACTGCGGGTGCTCAAAACGGATCAAGGCTGATCATCACACGGCGAGTCGTTGGGACGGTCATGACGGTCTGAGTCTGTGAATGTTCCACGTACCCGACAGCCCGTGCCCGCTGACATGGTTGCTCGTCCGTGCTGGCACCTAGCCTGAGTCCTTCTGCGACTGGCTTGCAGGCTGCAACGGCTGCAAGTGCTGCAGCTTCCGCATCAATGAGGAAGGCTGCAAGCACCATGGGAGTGGGGGCTTTGTACTCTGCAAGCCCCAGGAGCGCAGCCTCTGCAGAAGAGGCACTCTTCGCGAGCTTCCGGAGTCCCCTGGCCAACAACCCCGCCGGCCTGCTGCTGCCTTTCCCGCGCGGCAGCCCGCACGCAGAGCACCAGGCCGTCCGCGAGCTCACCCCTTAGCAGGCTAGCGCTTCGCATGCTGATTAAGCCGATCCCGAGATCAGTGAAGCACTCTCAAGCGCAGCACAGCGGGCTGCCTGTAGAGTCTCGCCGCCCCACGCTCCGAAACCGTCACGGCCAGCACACACCGCGGCCGAAGAAGCGAGCCGGTGAAGAGCGAGCGCAAGTCCGCCTGCCTAGCGAGTGCCAAGATGTTCTCGCCCTGTGCAAACATTGGCTGCAGCTCCTTCGTCGACCAGGGGATGACCTTGCAGCTGCAGGTATGTGACTATGAGGAGTCCAGAGGCAGGCGGAGGCCCAAGCCCAAGCGTGCCACAGTAGTCGAGCCACACAAAGTCGAAGCCCGGACATCGGGACCTGGCATCGGATGCGCTCATCCCTGAAACTCTGACAAGCGGCAGGGGCACCTGAAGGCCTTCAGCTCAGCGACATCGTTCCCAGTCAGCCAGGCCTCGGGGCCGGGCTTGCGCTTATACTTTACCAGGTGCAGAAAGAAGCTGCGCTTCTAGGTCTTCTAGGAATCGCCAAACATAGGAACTTCTGAGGCGACCTGCAACGCTTGCAGCCGAAGCTCTGCGAGTAACTCGTGAGACGTGCATGGGACAGCACAAATTCCAGGGGCGGCTTGCCGTATCGCGGCAGGCTCCTCACCACCTCCAGGACAGGAGCAAAAACTCGAACTCTCCCTTGCTGCAGCGCAAGTCAAAAAGAAAATACCATGCTAGGCCGAGCAGCTGGGGTTCGGTACGACGGTCGAATCCTTAGTGCTTCGACATGTTCCCCCTCACGAATTTTGTGCTTCCACGCATAGCCAACAATTCCTTGTGTGTCATCATGCTGACCCCTTCAATCTGTGAGCAGTATTTGCATGTGCATTCTGGTGGCTGCTCGCATAATAACCCTAAAACCTAAGCGGAGTAAACCGACCCCGAAACCTTAAAAGAAGTGCAGGTAAGCTTGCAAGAAAGCCGAAACCCTGAAAGGAGTAAACCCAGGCCGAAGCCTTGAAAGGAGTAAACCCAGAACGAAACCCTGATGAAAGAAGGTGCAAGCCTTAGGATTCCCAGTAAGGGGTGCTGGCTCTCAATGCTACTGCCTGCGGGGGTGGCAATGTCGGTCTGTTTTTGGGTGAGGTATCTTCATGTTGCTTTGGATTTGCTGCGGGTGTCACGGGTTCGTCGACTTGATCGTTCATTTCGGCGTGTCTAAATACCGTACAGAGAGGGAGGGATAGTCTCTCTTCTTTGTGGCTATCCGTTTGCGTCTCTCTTCCGGGGCCTGAGTCCGACTTCAGCCGAATCAGCACACGAGGCGCCATTCGAAGGCTCGCACTCCGATCGCTCAGTATCACGAGGCAGCGGCTGGCTGTGAAAACCCATCGTGCTCTATGACAATGTCAGCCCCCGACCGCGAACGGAAATGCAACAACGACAAGACGTCAAAAAGACACGCTATCCCCTGGGGAGCTTTGTTGAGGCAAGGAGTTTTGGGCTATTTTGGGCTGTGGTTTCGCTCTCTCGGCTGTTGCAGTCACAGCGATAGTGTCGTGCCTTACCCCGATTCGTATATCATGTCTGAGATAGGAAACAAAGCGAGCGAGTCCAAACTACGTGCGGAAACACGAGGCTTTCGTGGCGAACAGTAGCGGCTAGGGAAGGCTTTGCCAATATCGACCGCCGACGGCAGGTATGCACGGTGGTCGCCTCCTATGTGACGATATTGAATCTTTCCTCTTGTTTTCATGCCAGGTGTCATTCGATGCATGTACGCCGGCTGCGCGGAGAGCCGACAGAGTCTGGAGCTCGCGGGTCTCCAGCAGCAGGCTGAAGATGGAGTCGGCGCTGGATGCTCGACTGCCTGCATCGTAGAGAGATGCAAACCGGTCAATTTAATACTTCTTCTCGGTGTGTCAACTACGTACGTTGAGCATCTTCCAGGCCAGCAACCGATTCGATCATACCAAGGAGGATTGTACTGATTGTACTTGTCAAATCTTGTCAAGATGTTTCGCTCACCATGCTCACGCAACTTGGCAAGACATGGCAAAACCAATTGCTCTGTCGAGACAGCGTTTGTTGGAAAGCACTGGTCTGAATGAGACTCCGCAAACAAAGCCGTGGAGCATCACCTGCAGATCGTGATTGACAGGCCTCTGACCAGCTCGGCCAGCCAGCTGTTGATGGCCACTTTGGTTGCATTGGAATAAGTCTGGCGGGAAAACCCTGCCAGAGTCAAATGTGCGAACCGTACAGTACATGTGTTGCTTCGCCACACCTGCCAGACGCTGCTTGCTACGATCGGACGTGGTCCCAGAAGATTCGCAGCGATCGGCTCCAGAGCAGCACCGCCCTGTGGCTGGAAGGGGCCAGGCCAAAGGGCAGAACTGGTCTGCTAATGTGAACCATGGACTGGCCCTTTGCAGCTACATCACAGCAAATCAATGCCGGTGTTGCTGGATGGAAGCATGATGTGGCTGTCTGCTCAGTCTGGGAATAACTTCCCGTGCTATCATCAAAAGGCATGTCGGTAAGGAGCCAAAAAGTAAGGACAGGCAAGCTGGTTGCCGTCTACTAGAGACAGCCAAGCAGCCTTGGCAAAAACAGGCCGCACTGACACCACTCTGTGATTTGGTTAGTGCCCAATGGGAAAGTGTGTGCTGCTCTCACAGAACCTTGGGAACCGGACGCAAATGCAAAACGGAAAAACCGAGAAGTATGTTGAAATGTCCTCTGTTCATCCTTTCTCCGTGTAGGAGTTTGTCGTTCTTTGTAATGGCCCATCTCGCGTGTTGCACAGATGCAACCGTAAGGTCATTGATGCTTCGGATCGCTCGAGCACGCGTCCTCACGTGTGTGCCGATGACTGGTGAAGCGGACAGTGAAGGAACCGGAAGCAGAGGCTTGCTCTCTTCCTGGCGGAACAATCTGAGCAGCGCCAACAGTCTGCTCACGGGTGACCAACGCACGAGTTGCGTCTTTTTCGTGCAGAGGGGACCGCGAGCGACAGCTCATTCGTCCCAGGATTAGTAGCCTGTGCCAGAACTGCAGACGAATTCAGGGGCAACAAAGCACAATGTTTACATGGACATAATATGTGACATATGAACAGCTCCGGCCTCCAACCCAAGCCTTAGTTTCGGCACGACCCTTCCTGTTCCGTCAGCCAGCACAGTGCAGTCTTAGAGTGTCTCGCGCCGTACTTGCTGAGACATCAGCCGAAGGTGGATGCGGCCTGGTGGCTGATTCATGCAGCAATCGTACGATCGTACCGGTTGGATCAAGGAAAACCCGCTCTGAGTTGCAAGCAGAGGCGGTCCAGGGGGTGAAGGCCCCGCAGCCGGAGGTGGCAAAGGCGGTGGCAGGGCTCAGTCAGTGCGAAGCTTGACGAAACACGGGCTCCAAACATCTCGGGACTGGACCACCAACACTGGAAGCAGACCTGGCTTGTGGCAGAGAGAGCTGCGAGACTACGTTTCTCAGAAACAGATTGAGCTCGGAGCGGAGGTGGCAGAGGTGGAACCTCACCAGATGTCTTCTGCTCATTCCCAGACAGGCAAGACTTGGCTCTTCGAGAGTCTGAGTGCCCCCAGGAAATAAGCATCTCAGGACGTTGCTGGGAACGTTCTGCTGGCGGCAGCACATGGAGAGGGCGGAGCAGGAGAGGACAGGGGCCGTGCCTGAAAGCATCAATTGGAATGCGCATCGTTGATGCTCCATGAACCTCCATGCTGTAAGCTTCCTGCGGGCACGGGAGTGGGAGCTAATGGACCAGGTGGTGCAGGCGGGGAGGGTGAAGAAGCAGGTTGTGCCTCAGTGATGTCGTGGAACAGTAGAAGTGCTTCCTTCCCTGATCCTGGTAGTTGTTAGCTAGGTCTCGTGCTGGAACAGGAGCAAGGGGTCTACACGCCCCTGGTGGGGAAGGCGCAGGTGGCGATGGCGAAGATGCTGGCCGCGCCTATGCTTCGATCACTCGAAACAGAGACCTAAAAGCCTAAAAGCTTCAACATCTATAAGGCTGCAGCCGGAACGGGAGGCACAGCCCCGGGTGTAGGCACAGTCGCGGCTGCAGGCAGCGGTGCGGTTGGCTTTGCAACTGCCACAGGAAGGCTAGGTGGCGCAGGTGACAGAGGCTTGACCTCACAAGCTGACACAACAGAGAATGTCATCGCCCATCGATGTTAAGAGCTAAGCTAGCAGCGATGTTCACGCACAAGTCTGAGACCAGGACTGGCGGCACAGGCGCTGACCTTGCCGTCTCAGCGTGACTTGTTCGATTGCGGCAATGTGCGGTATTAGACAATGTGACAGGCTAAGTAGGCAACGTGCAATCCACACCGGCCCACTTCAGCATGTTTGGCCACATCCTCGACCAAGGATCATACCAAGATGGCAGAACTCCGTACAATTCTTCTCGGAATGCTGCACAGAGCCATCGGGTTTCTTGTCCAAGAGAGGTAGCCTGACAACAAGAAACGTAAGATCACTTCTTCAGCGCGGAAAACCGAAAAAGAAAGGACCTCTGACTCCCTGGGAACACCCCACTGCACAGCTGCTAAACACAGCTGAAGATGAAACGCAGACCGAGTTGCAAGTTGGACCACTGTGCATCACTGAGAGGCTGGGGAGAATATCTCGACCTTGCTGAGCGACGTCTGTCTCTGCAAAGCGATGCCCACGCTCAGCTCTGCTGGCTCTGCTAATCTTGGCTTCGACAAAGGCTCCAACAGCACTGCTTGAACATCCAGCGCTCGTACCTGGCACACTGTTCCTCACATGAGCACCTGGCTCACTCTTCCTCGTGATCTCAGGAGGCCGCAGATTCTGCCCCA